ACCTTTTACTGAATAAAATAATTATGGTACACCTAGGGGCGGAAGTGGTGTAGTGGCAAGTGGCACGCTTACCACGCGAGCGGTCCGGGGATCAAATCCTGGGTCGTGAGTCGCCCGGGCCAACCAAGCCTTCCATCCCTCCGGGGTCGGTTAATTGGTACCAGACTTGTCTGGGAGGATAAAAACACTGACTTGTACATCGGCTGGCCCCCGCAAGTCATTGTATAGGCCACATCGCATTCAACGCCACTCCGAATCAGGGTCAACCCTACGTTGTTACGAGTAACAACGGGGGGTCGTACTCAGTTGAGCTTGGAGGGGGGTCGTACCCTCTCGGTGGCCGACAGTGGGATTCTTGGTAATATCGGATAATAGCCAGCACGTTACGTTTTCGTAAGATGACTGATACTAGAGCATCTATAAACCACGCTTCCCTCTAAATGAGCTTTCAAATGAATCAGCGAATTAGAAGGGCGCCCGAGGCGTGGCGCGCACCAAGGCAAGGGATGTAGTGCAAGCGCATGCTCGGAGCTTTCTAGCACATCCTAAATTAAACATGAAATTGGTCTTCCAAGAAGTTACGGGCAGTGAAACCTAAGAAAACCCGCGTTTTCGAGAAAATGGCTTGAAGAATACCCCTCAAAAAAAGTAACAACGGGACTAATTTTTGAACTGCTGATCTTTCAGGAACGCTTGGGTGCTCGTTAGAAAGCTTGAATCCTGTAGTTTATTATACCGTGTTCAGCTTCCCAAATGAATGACTTTGAAGGAAGTTATGATCGTTTGAAGGTAAAAAAGTCGCGGTTCCAAAAAAATAGTAACGCAAACCCCCAAAAAAGTAACAACGGGACTAATTTTTGAACTACTGATCTTTCAGGAACGCTTGGGTGCTCGTTAGAAAGCTTGAATCCTGTAGTTTATTATACGTGTTCAGCTTCCCAAATGAATGACTTTGAAGGAAGTTATGATCGTTTGAAGGTCAAAAAGTCGCCTTTGCACAGAAAAAAGTAACAACGTACTAAATTTTTATTAAATTAACTTTCGAAGAATTTTTACCCATGGTTGGAGAGAGAATAATTTGAATTTTCAAATCAAATCAAATCACTTCGGCGCAGAAGCTCGAATATGAAGGAAGTTATAGCCTTAGAAAGAGGGGTGTAAAAATTGTGTTGCAATTGAAGAACGTGAAGGATTTCAGTATTTCAATTGGAGCGATAATTTTTTCTGACTTCTCATAAGTTTTTATCAGGTAAATTGTCAATATTCCGGTCACTGGTTCAGCGCTCCATAGCAAAAGGGATTCATCAACGGCTTGCTAATGCTGTATCCTTCATGCTTTATCCTTCACACTTATATCCTGGTTGAGCGGAAATGGTGCAGTGGCGAGATCCCTGCCGAGGCTCGAAACCATGCCCTGCAAAAATTGCAAAAATGGTTCTAGTACCAGCGTCAGGCCCAGGTTGACAGGCCGGCTGATGAATTACCCCATTCACACCAACCATGTTCGAATTGGAACTGTGAACGTAGGGTCGCTAACTGGAAGGTCCCGAGAGGTTGCTGATCTGATGACGCGCAGAAATCCAAGTCCTATGCCTTCAGGAGACGCGATGGAAAGGTGCTAAGGCCAGGGAAATCGGGGAAGGTGTCAAACTCTACTACAATGGGGAAGACACCAAGCGGAACGGTGTGGCCATAGCGGTAGCGGAGTCGCTCAAGGACTATGTCTCCGCTGTGAACAGGATCAGCGATCGGATCATGGCTGTGAGGATAGACACGAAGGAGGGGTACTGGACAATACTCTCCGTGTACGCACCGCAAGCCGGATGCCCCGAAAGTGAGAAGGACGAGTTCTATCTGAGCCTTGACGAAGCCATCAGATCGATTCCGGAAGGCGATTACCTGACCATAGCAGGTGATCTGAATGGTCACGTCGGCAGTGACAGAAGAGGCCTGGAAAGGGTGCACGGAGGTAGAGGAGTGAGGAACGCCGAGGGAGAGAGGGTCCTGGACCTGGCTACAGCCCACGATCTGGCAATCTGCAGCACGTTCTTCGCGAAAAGGGAGACTCAGAAGGTCACCTACAGCAGTGGAGGGAGACAGACGGAAATCGACCATGTGCTGGTAAGAAGATCATCCCTCAAAACTGTGAAGGATATCAAGGTAATTCCTGGCGAAGAACTGGCTCCTCAGCACAGGCTGTCGCGAATCGCGAAAATCGCTCCCTGGAATCCCTGGACGTGCCGGCGCCTGCGAGCTTCGTGTTGCCATGACCCAGCATGACCTATCCGTGATCGTGCGGCAACGCAGCCATATTGACGGCACCATCACGGCCCTCCCGGGTTCCCCAGTTTTATCGTCTTTTCGTCCCGTATCCGGCAGCCGACTCGCAGGGCAGCGAGCCTTTAGAACCCTATTTCTTCAGTGAAGGGTTTAGTTCACCGGCGGTCCTTCGACGGGTCAATGGCGGTGACCCGACGTGAGT